TTTCCTACCTTTCTGATCTCATTAAATGGTACATCCATCTACTAAATTACCCATGACAAATCTAAGGATCATCCCAGATTCATTCTGCCCTCACATCCCACATCCAAACCATCCATAAAACCGGACAGTTTAATCTCCAAAATATATTCCAGATCTGACCATTTCTTACCATCCACTGCTACTGCCCTAGTCCAGGCCATGTTTCCTCACTTGGACTTCTGCAATAGCCTCCTAATTAATATCCTGTTATCATCCTTGTTTTCCTCTCAGTTCTTTACATAGCAATCAGAAAAACTGACTAGAAACGAAGATCAAATAGCACTGCTCTCTTACTTAATACACTTCAATGGCCTCCTATGGCCATCAGATTCCTTAACCAGGCCTGCAAACTCATACATAATCTAGCCCTTCTACCCACTTCTCCATTCTTGTGTAATGCCACTCTTCCCCTCATCTCCTTTTTCAGGCAAACTTGCCTTCTTTTGTGCCTCCAACATACCAAGCTTGTTACCAACTCACAGCCTTTGCACTTGCTGCACACTCTATCTAAAACATCACAAAGGTGGTTCCTCCTTTCCTTCCTGTTCTCAGCACAAATGTCACCTTCAAAGATGGCTCCCCTGACAATTCTATTTAAGTGAACCCAGTCACATTATCCTATTATTCTGCTTTAATTTCTTTGGAGAACTTGTTACTAATGGAAATAATCTTATATTTCTTGTCTGACCCCTCCTACTAAATGTAAGACCTATGAGAACAGAAATTTTGTCTGTCTAGTTCACCACAGTAACCACAACATTAATTATTTGTGGAATGAATGATTATTCTATAATTTTATTACAAATAGAGTATTAATGGTTTCATTTTATAAAATTTCCCTTTTTGTTCTAAAGAAAATGTTAAATCTCCCCTCTTTCAAAATAATTATATAAGACTAACTTAATCTCTAAAATTCCCAAGAGGGAAAAAGGTAGCAAATCAAAAATTTTTGCTCAGAGCCATTGTCATTGTAAAGTTGGAATATTTTTTCTGCATTAATTTTAAATAAATGATATGACCTACTAAGGGTTCAGATAATAAATTTTACCTGCAGTTACACCAATAATTTCTATGTGACTAACATAATCTAGTCATAATATGATTAAGCGAATAGTTCTTCTTTCTCTTAAAAGTTATCTAGATTAACAGATAGGACACTGAGGGTGTATATTCCATGTATAGTTCTCTAATTTAAACTAATTCATGGTAACCAAGAATGAATCAATTAACAGTTGTTCACCTGTTTCTCCTGTGTGTGTGTGTGTGTGTGTGTGTGTATGTGTGTGCATGCATTGGGGGAGGCAGGTTGTATGCATTCCATTAGCTCTTTCTCAATAAGCAACTAATTAATTAAAGCAAAAAAAGAAAAATTATAAGTTTTGCCCAATTTTGATTCCTAAGAACTGTTTATTTTCTAAATATGGCCAAGAGTGCTACTACAGCAAGGCTAGAAAGTTATCAAATCTATTACTTGTCATTTTTCATCCAAAAATAAACTTTCCTTTTTTAAAAAAGTCCCAAATAGTATAGGTTACACATAAACAGGTCAGAAAGAAGATTACCAGAATGTTTCATCTATATTCTATTACAAATGAATCAGAAAGCAAATCTAAGCTATAGAGTCTACTGTATATAGAATAGCATAATGATCATCTGAATTTATGTGACTCTAAGAAGTCTCTTAGTTTTAAGAAAAAAAAACTGTAAAATCAAATGTTAATTTCTTGACATATCCCTGTGCTTATCTTCTTTGTATAAAACATTGCTAACTGGCTACCTCTGCTGCCAGCAAAAGAAGTCACATAACAGGCAATCAGGCGAGTAAAATAAAAATAAACTAGGAAAGACATACATACGGAGATTTCTCTCCCCAAAAAGGAAAATAAGCAGCTAAAGGTGAGATAAAGGTAAAAACTATATTGCTACATTAAAACTATAACTGCTCCAAAGGAGAAATGATTAAGAAACAAATAAAACCAAGTTTTTCTACTCCTCAATTACATGTTTCTGCATATTTCTAAACAATTTCCATAGCCTACTACATGTATTAATGTTTGTACAATACCTACTCTTACTTAAAAATCAAACTATTCGGTTAAAAAAAAACTTAAAAAAATAAATTATGTTTGGATTTTAAATATGATATTAAGTATAATCAGATCACAGTAAATGCTAGATTTAAAATTTATGGCATAATCAGATTCTTTTAAACAGCATTTTGAAACAATAGGTCAAATTAAAGCATTGTAACTATAGTATGTATTCCTAAATTTTAATCAAATGAAAAAATCACAGAACATTCACTCATTTTTTATAAGATATTTACTGAATACCTACTGAGTGTCAGGGACTGAACTATAGATGAACCTGGAGATACAAAAGAATGAGTAAGACACAACTGATACCCTACTGTTAAGGAATTCACAGCCAAGAGAAGAAAGATAAGTCAGAACTGACATATGCTGGAAGTATAAAATACATGCGAAAGTTTAAAAACTTAGTACATAAAACATAAAATACCTTTTTTATCTATTTTTTTATATTTTGGATATACTGGGTTAAATGAAATATATTATTAAAATTATTTTCACCTGTTTGTATTTTCTTGTGTGACTACTGAAAAAATATGTACATGGCTCACATTTATTTCTATTGGACAATGCTGGTTTAAACTGCATTGGCTGAGGAATAGTGAGAAAGTCCTAAGTGATAACAAGAGTTGGTTGACAACAAAGGATCTTCAATGGGGTTAAAATGATCAGATTTGACATTTAGAAAGATTCACCTCCAACCAAGAACTGCAGGGTAGTAAGGCTGGAGGAAGAATACCATTTGGGCTTGATACCAGCTGATAGATGATAGTGCTGTGAACCAAGGTAGTGAAACTAGAGATATAGAGTACAGCATTTATTCCAGAAACATTTATCAAGAAACTAGACTTGATGGCAGATTAAATGTGGAATATGAGATGAGAGAAGAACCTGCATGAAGTCCAAAGTTTTGGGCTTACAAAATGAGGAGAATATGGTACCATTCAATAGGGAATGTTTTGGCAGGGAAAGGTGATAGGTTCAATATACATATTGCGTTTGGGATGCCTGTGGGAAATCTTTGCAGAAATATCAAAAATTAGCTAGAAAAGTTTGATGGTAATTAAAGAGTTCCAGGACAGAGATTTAAGAAAAAAGTGGGAGTGTGTTAATAAAGTGTAGATGGTAGAAGCCAAGAGAAAGGATGAACTCAGCCCACAAGAGGACACAGAGTAAAAACAGAAGACAAAAGACTGAGTTATGGGAAAAAAAACAATTAAATAGTGGATAGAGGAAGAGGATCCTACAAAGGAGTGGAAGAATGACAAGTAGAAGAACCAGGAAAGAAGGTAACATCTTTATTATAATGGGCTCCTACTGTGTCTTACAGAATTATGGTTCCATGAAATGTTTAACAGAAGAGATGTGACTTTGACAAAATAAAATCTCTTTTCCAAGGTCATCAATCACTTTTGATACTTTACAAATATTATTTGAAATGACACTTTGTCGACTTAGAAAATCAAAGCAAACTATTATTTCCTATTATGTGTTTGAACAAACATATTGGTCAACATGCAACAAATCACAAGGTGAAATATTTAAAATAGTAATAAAAATTCCAATGTGTAACTACAATGGGAAAAAATACAGATTAAAATAACAACCATGCTAGAGAGAGAGAATTGGAACATTTTCAGTTTTAACTTTTTCCAAAATGCATATAGCCGCCTTCCCCCCAAAAATCATTTAAATGATGACTTTTGATCCCAAAGAATCATCTAATCTAAGTTCTTAACCTGAAGGTAAAGGAGAGACATAAACACGTATGTGTTCATGTGCCCAAGTGTACTTTCCTAAAGAGAGGAGACAAAACCTTCTTTTGATTTTGGGAAGGGAGGGGAGTGTTCATGATGGAAAAAGATTAAGGGAATCTCCAGTCAATGCAGCACAAAGAATGGTTCACACACACCAAATATTCTAAAAGCAGATTCACTTTAACGAACCATCCATTTTTTTAGTAGAAATACAATAAAATTAATCCTCACAACAAATCTATCCCAAATGGGGGCGGGGGTGGGGGGAATGACACTAGTAATTTGTTACTAATTGATGTGAATAATTTGTCCCAGGCCACAAAATGAACAAAGGAGGAATTCATATTTGAGCCAGCACTCACTGCCAAACACTGTCCCATGGTACACCCAAAGTAAAACACCAAGTATTTGAATACCGGCTCCAACTCACATGTGCCAGGGAAGGTACATTTCTTGCTAACTGTCTTTACTCCTCTCATCCCATCCCTGAAGACTATGTGTAAAATTTTCACTGGCTGGACAAATGCACCTTTCACTCTAATTACAGTCTAAAAATAAACCTATTATTTATCCCAGAGCCATCAAAAGCCTTCTTCCCCTTCTTGGCCCTTGGCTTCGCCCTTTCCCGCCTTGAGTCTCCACCGGCCTCCAGAGTTTTTGTTTTGTTTCTAATAACTCTTAACCGCTTCTCTAGATCCGCCTGCACTATGCTCCCTTCCTTTTCTTCCCCATCCCAGGAAATAACCTTTTCCCAACTCCTTCTTCTCCTAACTTCCCAATCCTCCATCTGTCAGTCAACCTCCCCTCCTCCCGACCCTCTCCCAGCTGCCCAGCTCCCGACTTATTTTCCTAGGACTCTCTTCTCCCCCATCCCTAATCCTTTCATCCTCCTTGCTTTAAGAACTCCACCCGCAGGGCCCCATCCACGAACGCCCCTATCCGCAGCTTCCTCCGCCCACGCCCCCGGCTTCACCCAAGTCTCACCTCGCGCCTCCACCTCCCCCACGGTCTCCACGCCCACCCCAAAACCCACCCCCAACCCGCCCCCGCTCCTCAGCAGAGCCGACGCGGCGTCCCGCCTCCTTGCCTTCCCTCCCCGGACGGAACTCCCCACCGGGGCCTCGGCGTCCGGCCGCTCTTTGGCGGGTGCCTGGCTCCTGCAGAGACTGGGGGGCAGGTGCTGAGGTTAGTCGGGTGCGAAAAGTTTGAACACTGGGATGGGACAGGGGCGGGGACCGCGGATCCTGGGTGGCAGCGGCGCAGCGACCTCGACTCCAGGGTAACGGAGGCGGAGGCCCAGACTGCACTGCGAAACGACCGCAGCCAATGATGATGCCTCTCCTGGAGCTCCCATTGGCGTCTGTTTCCAATGGCCCTTTTTATTGGCTTCATTAAAACTGGAAGGCGGGACAAAGAGTGCGTGAGAAGGCGGCCATTGGTCGATCGCTCTAGCTATAGCGGCGACAGCGAGTAGAGAAGTTCGCGGCGAAGCGCTGACTCTTTTGGGGCTTTGTGGAGCAAACGCGACTGCTGAGCCGGCTGCGCCCTGTGGAGAAAGACGCGGGAGAAGGGGAAAGAGGGTTCGTGTAATGAATTGTAAAATTGGCGACTGCTTAATTAAAAACACTGGCATTTGTCTCGACACCGTTTTGAAAAATCAATCGGTTTCAAACTATAAAGAAATTACAAACAAATGGCTCGGACTTCTCGGTCTTTTTACTGAAATTGCTGATTTTTAGGAAGCGTGGGGTTAGTGCACGACTCTATCTACCTCGAGGTCCTGGCCTTCGTGAATCACGAACGCGCCATGAGTTTGGCTTAAAAATGATTTTTAGGTTTGGGAACGGGTTTGGTGTGGAATGGCATTTGAAACATTAGCACACAGTTTTTTTAAAAGAAATGTCCTGAGGTGCATGTCAGTATCCTACTGAGAGCAACTGTGTGGCGTGTTTTCCCCTTCTAGAATTGACAGTGTCTTAAACAGCATTAATTGCAGGAGCAAGGAAGGTAAAAAGAAAATCCTCTCTTTGAAGAGGGTTTTAAGCCGCTCTGAGCCTTCTGATCATCAAGACGGTTTAACATGTACTCTGCTGTTCTCACCACGTTAATTTCTCCCTCAGTTTTACCTCCATTCTGCAAAACTCTTGAAGACAAATGGGTTTTAATCAATCTTCTAACCACAAAGATTGGTTATTCCTGCTTCTCGCTTGACCTCGTTTTCCCACCTTTGCACTAATTCAAAGCTTACATTTTTATCCTGTCAAGATATTTTACTTCAGTTTACACGGACTAGCCCACGTAAAGAATATTGTAATTAAATGCAATTTCTGCGTGCACAACAAATCTGTAGGAGATGGCAATCATGTGTTAGTGAAAATAAAATGAGTAATCCCCAAATTGCACTGAAATAATTTGTATTCAAATCGTTAATCTGTTTCTGCTAATACTCTGTTTAAATAGCTCACTGGTCAATATTGACTCTGTTAGAGTTAATACTATGTAGTTTACTAAATGTATGGGCGGATTCCTTTCAAAGGAAGTTGCTAGGAAGAGTCAAGAAACATGCTGTGTTTATGTGGACAAACATCTGTCACCAAAGAGTCAAATCAGGATTGTTGGCACTCAAGGACAGCTGAGGATGAAATTACTATTTATTCTGCACTCAGAATGTTCCAGGCAGTGTAATGTCATTCTATCTTCATTCAAGACTCTAGGCAGGTATTGTTATTCATTGTTTATACTTGAGGAAACAGATTCAGAGAGGTTAAAGAATCCACCTTGAGATGCTAAAATAGTAAGTGATAATGCCAAGATGCAAGCTTTGGTCTGCTAAATTCTAAATTTTTCAGTTTCAAATTTAACGCCTTTGGTGTGTTACCCTACGGGTTAATAGAGTTATCAGTAAGCAAGAACTACTTAAAAGGTCCAGAGTCTGCAAAAAATTGTCTGGTTGTATGTAACATATTTTCAAGATCCTTACAATGTGCAATTTTATTCACCCTATCATGTTCTTAATAACAGTGACTATTTGACCTTGAAAAAAAGACCAAAATAATTTGTAAATTTACAGAAGTGAAAACCAGTTTATTGAATTAATATTTTTAAAAGATTAGCCCAAAATATTAGTTAACAATTTCAAAAGTTTTTATGTGATATTACATGGCTTTAATATAATCATTTTTGATAGGATTAGAACTTTCTAAGATTATACCATTTAACGTTTCATTTTACTATATACTATATAGGATTTTGCTTTTCAAAAAAAAAGGAATCAAAGTTAACAAAACCACATTTTTATATTTCTGCCACTTGAAATTATATTTAACAGAAATCAGGTTCCTTATTATTCTTAAAGATTATATTTATTTAATAAATTCTAATGGTCATTAAGCAATATGGAGTTTTAATATTCCTGAGCTTCCATTGATATTGCAGTATTTCCATATTTGTGATACTGCTGACTGTTCATTTTCTGCAGGACTTTGTCTTGTTAATGCTGTGTGGAAATGATACCATTTTTATGTGGTTAAAAATCTTCCTATAAATGCTTATTAATAGGATTATTCCCATTTTCCTTATGGGGAAGGTATAGAGTTTGATTGATAGAATTTTCATAAAAATTAATAAGTAGAATAATAAGTAGGCTTTCCAACTGTAGACAATTCAGAAATCACAATGACTAATTTTTAAAGGGGTGACATATTATATATAATATCTTGGAATGCACACCTTAGCTAAAGTTCAGTTGTCCACTTAATACCATTGCAAAAAAAGAAAGTACTGTCACAATTTTGTATATTTTATCTAAACGTGGTAAGTAACAAAAATTTAACAATTTTAAATCTAACTTCTTGGTATCATATTGCTTGAAATTTTTATATTTATTAACAGATTCCAGGTAAATAGTAGGTTGTTAGTATATCATATTAACTTTTTTTTTTTTTTTTTTGAGACAGAGTCTCACTTGTTGACCCGGCTAGAGTGAGTGCCGTGTTGTCAGCCTAGCTCACAGCAACCTCAAACTCCTGGGCTCAAGCAATCCTGCTGCCTCAGCCTCCCGAGTAGCTGGGACTACAGGCATGCGCCACCATGCCCGGCTAATTTTTCTATATATATTAGTTGGCCAATTAATTTCTTTCTATTTATAGTAGAGACGGGGTCTTGCTCTTGCTCAGGCTGGTTTTGAACTCCTGACCTCGAGCAATCCGCCCGCCTCAGCCTCCCAGAGTGCTAGGATTACAGGCGTGAGCCACTGCGCCCAGCTCATATTAACTTTTTAAAGTATCTAATATGCTAGATGTTTAAAAGAAATCAAATGATTTAGGAAAGCTTGAGTTAGGTGTAAAGAACAGTATAAATGGACTTAATATTATATTAATTTAAGAATTATAATTATAATTTAAGAATTATAATTAATATATTAATTATATATTAATATATAAAGGCTTCTCTAATAAAAACAAATTTAGTCTAATCTGGTTGTTATTATTTAGCTTTGCAATATGGAAAGCTGTTACTCTTAGATTTTTGCTCTATTTAAAGGATAAAATTTTTAAGCACTTGATAAAATTTACAAGTTAATTATTTTGTTAGTGAGATGTTTATTAGCATCTAATAGCAATATTAGAAAATAGCAATAGCAATTTTCTTATTTTATAATTGGTGATTTAATCATTAATAAAATCTGAATTTTAGAATTTATTTTAATTTAGCAGACTTCTGCTTTTGTTTTGCTTAAAAAGAACAAAACCAAAAGTTGGTTAAAGCTATTTTTATTTTTTGAGCTATTTTTAAATGCATACTTTCAGATTTTGTTACTCTTCAATGACACCTTTAAGTAAATTTGCCTATAAATCAAGTCCTATCTCCAAAGCAGTTGAAATAGCATTAAGGGAACCACAGTAGTTCTATTTGTATTCACATCATTAGATTTGGAAGAAAAAATATGAATATGATTTTCTTAGTAAACAATTGCCGGTTGCCAACTGAAAATAATCCACAGGAGATTCTGTTAAAATCAGTGACTATATTTTTAATTGACAATAAATCTGCTAGGTAAAGAAAAAGTGTTTTTATGGTATAAGTGTTATTATGGCATACTAAACTAGCCAGCTATTTCTCTTGTGCAAGAGGAAAATGACATAGCAAAATTGGAATGGAAAATTTCTAAGTTAGAAAGCTTCATTCATTCATTCAATACATACTGAGTACTTGTTAGGTAACTTTCTGGCATATGGAGATAAAAAGTGTAGCCTTATCATCCAGCTGCTCACTGTCTAATGAACAAGAAAGAGAACTCAAACTCTGATTGCAGGTACTATGTAATAAGGTTGATTAAATGATATGCATGCTGTGCTAAAGGAACTGGGAGGTGAGACTCAACTTAGCCTGGTGGCCCATCTATGCTTGCTAGAAATAACTCTTGAATTGGAGTTTATGTTACATAAGAGCTGATCACAATAGATAATGGGAAGATATATAAGACAGAAACAAATCACTACATACCCAGGCACTAGAGAGACAGAGCAAATCATTTAGCAAGACATGGTGGGAGAAAGGGGGAAGTCCCTGGAAAAGAAATGGCTGGAAAGAGGCAGAGGCCAATGCTTAAATGCCTTTTTATGAAGCTTATGTTCAATCCCAAAAGCCACAGGTAGCAGCTAATGCATTTTAGAAAGATTATCTCAGTGGCAACATACAGGATGAGACTGGAAGCAGGCAGGGGTACTCAAACTTTTTAAACAGGGGGCCAGTTCACTGTCCCTGAGACTGTTGGAGAGTGGGCCCCAGACCAGTTGGCTGCTAAGCAGGACAGGCAACGACAGCAAAAACACCCAGTGGGCCATATAAATGTCCTAGGCGGGCGGCATGTGGCCCTCGGGCTGTAGTTTGAGGATGCCTGAGCTAGACCTTTAAAACTTCATAAAGTGACAGGTATCATAGGGAAGAAATGAGGAAGGTCTGGATGAACTAATATTAATTGAGCACCTTCTGTTCCTGGCCCTGAGCTTATAATTCTACATGTTCATTTTAATCCTTACTACAACTTTATGATATAGTATTACTATTATTTCTTTGTTACAAGTGAAGTCTGAGGCTCAAAGAGGCTAAGAGCTTTGCCCAAAGTTACAGTTAGGAAACACAGGAGCAGCACTTTAAATCCTTGTCTGTGTGAGCTTTCAACTGCCGGCTTTTCAAACTAAGGTTGTAACTCATTAATGAATCATTAAATAAACGTAGGTTTATGACCACATTTTAAAAATGGATGTACAGTAGAAGAGAAAATATCAGGATATATTATGTACAGTAAAGGATAAGTATTGTTTTATGAAAATTTTATTTCAATTATTTTTATATACATGTATTTTTTTAAAAAATACATGTATATATATATTTTTATATATGTATATTTTATATACATGTATTTTTTTTAAAAGTACATGTATTTTTTATATACATGTATTTTTTCCATTTTTTTTAAAGTTATAGGTCAAAGTAAAAAACTTTGAAAATGACTGCACTATTTTATATTGTAGTCATAGTAAG